GATTTATTTTCTGAGTGCACTGAATTTTCAAAAACTGTCCAAGGAATAATTCCCTAGAATCTTCTATATTTGAGATATTAATGATCTGCATATTTAGAATACTGTCTAAGCATCAGCTCTTCTCCTCCCAATAAATTTTCACTTGGGTTATTGTAGCAAACCTCCCCCAGTGAGGAAAGAAACAAGAGAATTATAACCAGAATGGACTATTTAAGCATAACTCACTCCCAGTGGAGATTTCTCTTCCCTTTTAGCCAGTGGTTCTCAATTTTTTTTAGAATGGGGTCACATACTCAAGGAGGAAATGGAGGGTCAGAACAACCCCTGGACTTGTTTGCAAAATCTTGCCACACCCCAAGTTAATAAAATGACAGGCTATTTCCGCAATTCTACTAGTGCCGTAATTGAAACATCTGGGTTTAAAGAAACCCTCTCTACAAACAAACACTCTGTAATTTGTTAGACTAGATTTTTAGATGTTTTTATTTGTTTGTTTGTTCTTTTGTTCACTTGACCAAGGAAAGAGGATTTGGGGAATAGTTAAATCTCATCTGAACTTATCAAGCAGCAATTTGGAGAATCATGGGTACTCTAATACTCTTGAAGCAGTATGTGCTGTGCCTCTCAAGATAAGAACACTGCAGCTAATTCAAAGTCAACATGTTATCAAATTCCAATTTAGTCCTATGTGCACAACAATTTTTAGAACTGAATGGTGTGATTGTGGGGCCTAAAGATCTGATATTGTCTCAGTTTCATTTTCTCTACAACCTTGTATTAGCCTTAAACCTTTGCAAAGATACTAACCAACTATCCAATACTGAGCATCACCCTGCCTAGATGACCATAGCAGTACTCCGAATCCTCAAGAATTTTTCTAAAGACAGTGAATTTCAATCCCAAAAGGCAAGTCTAAATGCTCGCACATGATAGAATGTTCTCAAATTACCATTTCTGAGGCCACACAGACACCTTGAGAAATTCCTTATGAATTCCAGTTAAGGAATATACGATCAACATTTGTAGACTATGTCTCAAAATTTAGTACCAAAGAGATTAATTTATGAGAAACCAAAATACACTCAGTGTAGGAATCACTTAGCTTTTTAGATTAGCTCTTTCCAGAAATCAACCTTTACAGTTGTTACCAATCTGCCTCAACCAATTTTACTGACTGATGCACATTTTCAGTTTCCAAAAATAATCTAAACTGTATCAAATATAAGTTTGTATCAAATACAAATAAAGGAGTCATTCACCAAACTCCCTCCCACTGACCGTAGTAAAATCCAATCAATCCACTTGTTGGATCTTATCCCAAAGGAGACTTTTTCTGGGATAACCTGTAACTTACTTTCAGTTTGTGTGTGTGCAGATATAGGGCAAGAAAAGAAGGCAGATCAACATTTCTGGAGACAATATGTCTACAGAGCAAATACAGAACAAGCTGTAGTTCTGCATCCCCCACACTGACCCACTAACATGCCTCAACCTTTACCCAAAGAAAACTCCTTCTTGACAGACAGATCAGTGTCTATATCCATTCAAAGTCTCTTTGTTAAAGTGGTCAACAAGGGGACCAATTAGCATCAAATGTGATGGTGGTTTTTCTGATATGGATTTTTGTCTACAGGGAACTGAATTGAGACCAAACTCATTTCATGAAAAACAACCTACAATTGCCAGGTGATAACTTTTTTATTGAAATATTCATGTTTTACCAGTAATTTTCATATAGGAATCCTAATGGTTAAAGAGCCTTAATATTCTTAAATCTCTTTACTCTTTATTCAAGTCATACAGATATGTTGCACTCCTTCAGAAATAAATATAATAAAAGTCTAATTACACCATTTGGGAAATATTTGGAACTGGGTATTTGTCATAGGAGAAGATGATAAAAAGAAGATTTGGCAATTGAGGATTTACTGTGTTTGATGGTTGTAGGGGTGGTGGGAAGGGAAGTGGGAGTCATGGGAGCCACTGGAAGAGTTAAGCAGTTGGTGATGGGAGATCAGATTCAGACAAAAACTCCATTGGGGAGAATATACATTTCTGTGTCATATATTCATCCAAAGTACCTCATGACAGCTTCTTGGATTAAAAGTACTCATCCTCAGGATTCAATAAATATATTTTCCTTTAAATTATAATTAAAATAAAAATATTTCTCCTATTACTTTCAGCTCCAGCACTAAAATAGGCAAAGAAAGTGCACATTTCCCCAAATATTATAATAAAACTGAAGCAATACTACTTAAAAAAATCCTTTACTTCTGTAACCAGCACAACCACAAAAGGGCTTTTTGTGGAATACCAGAATTTTTTTTATTGTTCATTTACACAATAATTATGACAACGTCACAGGATAAGAACATAAGAACAGCCATACTGGGTCAGACCAAAAGTCCATCTAGCCCAGTATCCTGTCTTCCGACAGTGGCCAATGCCAGGTGCCCCAGAGGGAATGAACAGAACAGATAATCATCAAGTGATCCATCCCCTGTTGCTCATTCCCAGCTTCTGGCAGACAGAGGCTAGGGACACCATCCCTACCCATCCTGGCTAATAGCCTTTGATGGACCTATCCTCCTTGAATTTATCTAATTCTTTTTTGAACCCTGTCATAGTCTTGACCTTCACAACATCCTCTAGCAAAAAGTTCCACAGATTGACTGTGTGTTGTGTGAAGTAATACTTCCTTTTGTTTTAAACCTGCTGTCTATTAATTTCATTTGGTGACCGCTAGTTATTGTGTTAAGAGAAGCAGTAAATAATACTTCCTTATTTACTTTCTCCACAGCAGTCATGATTTTATAGACCTCTATCATATCCCTCCTTAGTCGTCGCTTTTCCAAGCTGAAAAGTCCCAATCTATTAATCTCTCCTCATATGGCAGCCGTTCCATATCACTAATAATTTTTGTTGCCCTTTTCTAAACCTTTCACTGAATACATTTTTCATAATCAAAAATTGAGTACATAATGTGCTGAAATTTAAGTCAGTTACTGGGACAGTTGTTTTGTTTTATAGCCGAAAAATAAAGTCTGAGACCTGTTTATGAAAAGCTCAGGAAAAAGCTATAATACTTTCTAAATAAAAAAATTATTTGGAGTGGACTGTAGAAAATGCTGCATGACCATGCATCCCCCATTGCCTCTGCACCCATCTCATCCCAAATGGGGAGCATAGTGTGGGAGGAAGAAGGGCTTGTGGATCCAGCAAGTTGCAGACCCACTGACCTGATGTTAATACTCAGATGCCACTGTGTGGCAGGATACACAGAAATCCCCTGTGGAGTACAGCTCTCTGGCATGTAGGGAAGGCAGATCGCCACATAGGCTCCCTGCGTCCCATCCCTCAATGCAGCACAGTGGAACCAAACTAGTTCTGCTGTGGACCCTCCAATCTGCTGAAGGGGGACAGGGGTTTACCGCTAACACACCAGTGATCAGTGAATCAATTACTATATTTTATAGTAATACAGAAATACAATTGTATCTGTAGAATAAACACAAGCCAATGACAAACTTGTGTCTCCTTCTATAAAACACAATCAGTTTTCTTCCAGCTGTAACTGTTCTGAAACTGAGCCCTTCAATCAAAACTTGTGTTAGGATTTCAATCATACTGCAACCTCAAGATTCAAACACTGCAAAAAATGCAACCATTACAATTTACAGGGCTATTCTATGGTTCTATAAGATATTAAAAATGAACTGGTTACCTTAAATCTCTGCCAAAGGGTTTGAAAAAGTATTCTAAAGTAATGCATGTAAAAAGTGATAAAAATACCTTTTTTTGGCCCACAAAATCCACCATGTGGGAAAACTTGTAGGTTTCATAATTTATTTTTGTACTTTCATAAGTGTCATTGGAGAAAGAAAAGCCAACTATGGCATCAAAAGAGGAACAGAGGAAAAGGTCATAATTTGTATCAGATGGAAGACTCCTATATATGCACAGCCTCACAGTTCGACTGTAGCTTAACATACTTAATTGTAATGGTTTGTGTCTCTTCTGTTCTTACCAGAGTGTAGCTTCCTCTAAAAATTGACTATTGAAGTTGCACTGTAGGGTTTCATGTAGGTTTCCCAAGGAATTCTGTATCAAATTAACACAGTGTTGTTGGGAGTTTTTTTGTTTGTTCTTTTTTTGCTTTAGTAAAAAGATTTTTGAATCAGCAACTCTGCAAGGGCTTTGACAGCCAAGTAGCATATCTTTTGGTGTTGACATTTGCAATTATAAAAACTCTGCAATTAGAACTTAGTAAATAATTGCCTTGATGTATGAGCCATATCAGAATCTAGCTCACTGTTCCATAGTTGTGTTGGCTCTGCATGAATAAAAAATAATAAAAGTGTAACTGTTGTCACTGATGGGCAACCTTCTATGGACGATGTCTTCCTATGTGCTTGTATGCCGCCTAACACAAATCAGTACAGCCCTGTGAGGATACAAAATTTGTATCCGCATCCAATCTGCAATCATGGTCCATGGATATAAAATGACTATCTGCAGATTTGCGGGGCTCTACAAATCAGTCCCTGTTCCTAGCTGGGGCCCTTCAGCAGACAATATAAATAAACAACATCAACAAGGTATGTTACTTAAGAAGGTGCAGAATTTTTAAGAATTTAAAAAGTATTGCATGCCAGTGTCACTTTTCTTCCCATAAACACTTTAAAAAGTACACAAGTATTTTCCTATGCAGTAGGGAACCTTGCATCATATATGGAGAAAAGGCCAGTAACAAATTACAGCAGTAAACTATCATTCTCCATGCCCACCACTGTGGTCAGCAACGTCTGACTGAAGAATTCCTCAGTCCCTTTTCTAGGAGAATCAATACTATTTGTTAGTTGAAATAGTATTATTTCAGAGTGATTACTGCTGAGATGGGAGTTTGTCCTCCACAAGCTGAGCAGCATTCTGCCTCCACACAGTACATTCACACTTGGAAGGAAAGCGAAGGGACAATGACAGACCTTCTGTGTTACCTATTTGTCTTTCCAGGTCTGCTGCTTCATCTGGTGTTGCACGTGGGAGGACTCCAGGATCACTGAAACTAGTACGCATCAGGGTCCCCATCACGAAAAAGAACAGAATCCCACCTATTGCAGGAATAGCAGGTGTAATCTTCTCTGACAAATATGGACAACTACAAGGGAGGGGGAAAAAGAAATAATTGTTAAACTACTAATGTCAAATAGTGCAGTACATGTTCTCAGAAACTATTAAGTTACTTGCCATTAAAGATCTATCTAGGTTAAGATTTTACATTCTATTAAGTCTAGATTGCTTTGCAGTGGAATGCTACTTTTAATAAATCTGAAAGGTGGCTTTAAAAAGCCACACCTATCACTATCCCCTAGTACTGGTTTAATATAATAAAGACTCAAAGAGCATAACAACCACCGCATTGTTAAGTAATATTCCCTTATTACACATAAAACAATGGGAAATTTTTTAAAAGTGAGGAGGTAACACATAGGAAGAAATTCAATGAATTCTATAAAATGAATTATACTCCACTGTTAGAGGAAATGCACAAGGACGTACATAAATGGCACATGCTTCCTTTATCCCCCTTGGGAGGTATCAGTGTTATGAAAATAGAATGTGGTGCCTCAAGCTTTTGTTTTCTCTCTCATTCCATTCTTTGTAATTTATTCTGTAAGCTTGTTTATTTGCTTTAAAAATAAAAGGAGTGCAATAACAGTGCAACACACATGGAAATGAACAACCAAGGTGGTCCACGGCAATGATAGCCCTTTTTCAGAACAGTAGAGCGTTTATTGTTACCAGACTTAAAAAATGATTACTGATTACTGGGCTGCAAGGCTATAAAGCACACAGATTTTTTTTTTTTTAATTATTCCACTCAGAAAAATCATCATAGATGGAAGCACTGGAACCTAATTTAACTCACAATCATGGTTGTAAGTGAAACGAGAACAACCATTTTCAGTTGTACTTAGACACTGTACAGTATAAAACTCCGGCTAATCTCAGAATAACACTAGGTATTGATGGATCATCCTGGTATATGCATGGACTTAAATAATCCAAGCAGTGTGTTCTAGAACAGGGAAAGTCAAAATCCCACCCCATTTGATGTATTTATATTCACAATTTAAGCTTTAGTTTAAACCAACAATAAACTGAAAAGCAAATTTCTAGCCAGGTAATGGTTGACAATATAACCTTCCAGATCTTAACCAAGTGTAACCAGCATTGCCTTCCCTAGTCTGCAGATGATCGGAAACAATGACTAAGGGTAGGTCTACAATGCAATCGGGATATGCAGTGTAGACATACCAGAACTAGCTTTGATTGAGGTAGCTTGCTAAAAATAGCAGAGTAGCCACAGTGTCATGGGCTTGCCAGCTAGCTTGATCAAAGTTAACTTGGACATGCCTGCGTGTGCTGCAACTGTCCCCCTCTCCCCATGAACCTCACTGGGATACTAACTGCCACGCTAAACAATGACAACATTAAATATTTCCATGGCTGATCACTTTAGCAGAGGGAATGGGGAAACGGTAGAAATAATAATTAAAAGTTCAGTTACTGTATAAAGACCATATTTCACCCTGTGCAAAGCTCAGGGTGAGAGTTCAGATGTGGATGGACAACAACATGTAGTCCTAAATTTTTACTCTAGCCCATGGCACGTAATTCTATTAACAATGGAATATGGCCCTTTGACACACAGAATTTGACACTGCTGTTATAGTAGCATGTTAGGGAAGGAAAGTTAAAGTACCAACAAAAAAAATGACTTGGTTGAAAGAATAGTCCTAAAAGATCTAATACAATTTAAATAACTGCAGATGAACTTCACAAAGTTTAAGAAATCAGTTCTTAACTTGTTTAATATATCAGAAAAGCCAGTCAAAACCAACAACCTACAAGTATCTTTTATACAAATCTGAAACTATTATAGCGGTCAATATATGTCTTGTGCATGCAGAATTATTAAAAATCAACCCACTGCATTGGACTCTGAAACAACAGTGCAAGTCGGCTCTAAGGATATATTTTGAAGTGAAATATTGGGAACATGAAACCTTACTATTACAATAAATAATCAATATTAAATAAAGCACCGTACATTATTTTTGGTTGCATTATTCATATCAGACTCCAAAGAAATGGGAACTAAAAGTCTGTAGGTCACATAAGTGCTGGAAGGTAACTTGAGATATACCTGTGGAACAGTAAAAAGCTATAAAAATTTTGGACAAATGCCAAAGCAGCACTGCTGACAATGTTTAGATATAGACTTCATCCAGAATCACCACTCATTCTAGGAATGATACTTTAAGCATCCATTTTTAATGGTCACCATAAAATATGTAATCATTTGTTATGTGCTAAGATTAGCATTCCATGATATTGATGGAAAAAAATCCAACTTCCCACATCAAAAGATTAAAAGACCAAAGAGGCAATACATTGTATGACAAATGAGAAAATTATCTAACAAAAATATTAAAATCTCTTGATAAATATCTAGCTGAAACACAATCAAACTCTGAAGAAAATCAGACCCATCAAAATTTGAAGATACTGTTTCACTCCTTACAAGAGAAAGGGCTTGTCTAAACTTAAAACTTGGGTCTGTCAGAGGATTAAAACAATCGCAATTAATCATGTGATTAAAAAAACAATCATAATCACAATTTGAATTAATAGAATATTGGTTAAAGAATAACAGAATACCAATTTAAATTTATTTTAAATATTATTGGATGTTTTTCTACATTTTCAAATATATTGATTTCAATAACATAGAATACAAAGTATATGGTGCTCACTTTATTTTTTAT